GTGAAACATTTTTAAACTTAAAAATAATGAGTATATTCTAAAACTGTAAAATCACTTAAATATAATATATACCTTACATACTGAATAATGTAAGTAAAAGAAGCTCATCTAAATAACTACATTTGAGTACATATTTGAGTAAGATAACTTCAAAACCATATTCATCAACTTAATTCATCTGAAACTACTAAAAATAGCAGCTAATGATTAGCTGGCAATACTGCACATACAGTACAGATGTATGCTACATAATTAACATAAAGACACACGCACACATTTATTGTTTTTAATATTAGGTGACATGCAGGTTAGTCTCACTGTCTCTTGGCCTGTCCTCTACCTAAGCACATAACAGACCCCCCATAAATTCAAACATAAACACTAACAGATCTCTTTCTATATTAATTTTGTGTGAAAACACACAAAATAACACTTAATTTCAACATTTCCTCTCATACTGTCTGCATATGAAGAAAACTGATAAGGAATGAGTAATAATTGCTCTTGAAACTGAACAAAATAATTTCTCCATTCTCAAGTATTTTGATATTAAAAAGTATTAGATATACTTTTTAAATATTTTGACAAAAATATTAATTATATCTTAAGTGTATAATTTTTCAAATACTTTATTTGTTGTGGAAAAATATAAATAAACAAATAATATATTAAAAATATTTAGACATTTTGTTTTGGTATTTCCAACTCAACGAATCACTTAAATTATATTTAGAGATTTATTATTATTATTATTATTATCAATTATTATTTATTATTATCAAATATTTATGATTATTATTATTTATTTGAGAAAGAGATTTTGAGTCTTAACACATTTTAATGCATTAAACTAATTAATGAATAATGATGTCCTTGAACATCAGGAGATAATTGAAAAAAATTACAAACACATACACAAAGCCTATACCTGCTGTGTGCTAAAAATAAAAATAGAACCAAACAGAAAAGGAATAGAAGAAAAGAGGAAATGATTAAGGCTCTGCAGGCTATTGAATACACACAATTCATTTTCATGGCTTCAGATATGATGTTATTGCGTAACATACAGAATCAGGATGACACCATTTCAGCAAGTGGGTTTGCAGGTTGTATCGGATGAGTGAATCAGGATGGATAGATGGACAAATCAAGAAAAATGCACCAACTGCACATTTGCTATCACATAAATATCATAGTCCCTCAGGATTAGGCTGTCAATCACTATTCCATTCCTTAAATTGCCCCTTTATATCGCACACATTTCCTTAACATATTTGCTTAAAAATGTAAACACATTAGTATTTCGGGACATAACCCATTGAACATTTGAGAGCGCAGTGCCTTGGTAAACATATGCTTTTCTCTTGGAGCGGAAAGTTAAATTGATTGCAAATATGTTGTGGTTGACAAATGACAAATGGAATCCAGGTTTTGGAACATTCTGCCTGAATGGCACACATTATTGATTAGACACACAGGCAGAGACGGAGATTGTTTATTCTAGAAATTAACAGGCGCAGATGCACGGAGATCAAGACATCACACAGATGCAGGTGAAGGGAGATCACGCGCTGATTGCTCTCCCAGTTTCTGATTAGCAGTCGCTCTTATCAGTCAGTAAGTGTTGCTGCTAGATTGCATAAGGATCTACCATGTGTTGATTGATTAGATTAACTATTTAAAGGGGTCCTATTATGCTCTTTTACAAAATCTTGATTTTGTTTTGGGGTTGCACTGGAACAGGCTCTCATACTAGGTTGTTCAAAAAACACATTATTTTTCACATATTTTACATTACAACACCTCTGTCAGTCTGGCATGAACGGCTCGAATAGTTCCTGTATCAAATGAAGGCCCGCCTTCTGAAACACGAAATGTGCTGTGATTGGTTAGCTGGGCCAGTGTGTGTGGTGATTGGTTAGCTCGGCCAGTGTGTGCTGTGATTGGTTAACTGGGCCAGTGTGTGTTGTGATTGGCACCACTCGGCACCTGGTCGGGAAATGTCATGCCCCTTACCATAGCCGCCTGCGAGCTTCAGTGTAAATATTGCATCAAAATCAAATCAATTTGAGAGTGATTTAAACCCGGATGATTGTAACCACTCTAAGTTCGTCTGCCTTGGGAAAGCTAGCGTGTCTCCGACATAGTGATAAAACTCGTTGCCTTCTCTAGTGCAGCTCAACCATGTCTCGTCCCATTCGTCGATATTTGTGATATCACAAATCCCGGAAAATATGCGTTGTAGTCCAAACGAGTCATTCGTTGTAGTTTTTGAAAAGTGATTTCTGTTAAATAAAATATCTCCTTTTGAAGTGGACTTTGAACTTTATAACTTTGCAGATCTTTTTTATGCTCAAACAGCAACATTACAGACTAACTAAAGTTGAAAAAGTGAAAAAGCATAATAGGACCCCTTTAAAAAAAAGGTAGGTTCGCTCTAATTGGTGACAGTTTCTCTAATAGTATGAATGGGAGTCATGGTGTCTGGGCTAACAATAGTTTGAGGAGTATTATCTAACCAAAGGTGATGCTGTTTGTTACATTTTAGGTAATCTCAGGATTTTTCCTCTGGAAATTTTCAGGACAGGTGACTTTCTTAGTACAGGCAAATTAGTTTCACATGGCTGGCCTCCAACAAACAAAACCAATCAAATAATTTTCCAGCCCCCTGTTGATTCTATTAAACTGCTCAACTTTTATTCTCTAGTCCCTTTTGTGTCATGTTAAAGTTTAATGTTTTATTGGTGTAACATTCATTAAAAAATGTAATATTTTGTTATCTCCTTTCGAACCCCATTTATTTATTTATTTTTAAATGAAATGCAACAGGAGATGTTAGGCAGAATTACAAAGCTGCTCTTTTCTATTGGATCATGATAGTCCACTTTTCTTGTATGGAAAAAAATGGATGGATTTATTTATTTATTAGATTTTTCTGATTAATTACAGACTGTTTAGGTATAATGTGTTTAGGAACTTTAACAGTATATTTTTGTTGCCTATTTTTGTTGAAAGAAAACATTACTTCTTAATATATTTTTTTCCTTCATTTATTTTTTTTTGTCTCCTTTTTGATTTAGGCTAGTGGCATATACTTTATACTTTATAATTTATACATAATATTTAGACTGCATCTGCAGCTGAATCGTGCATTACACCAGGTATTTTGTTCACTATATGCAAGCAAAATTTATATTCCACATCTTTTTTTGTCACAGTCCATTTTGACCCTACAGCTTTATTCTGTTGAAAATGAGGAATCTAGTGGCAGGGATGTATCTGGTAAAGAGGAATTGTTGAGCTGGAGTTCTCATTTTGTTAGTGTGTGATATAACAAGAGGCAATTTGAAGTTTTGCTGAGGATTCGCTGCGGTTGTGTATCAGTGTAGATCATGTTATAGAGCAGCAATTTTCTCTCTAGAGTCTCTGCTCTCCGTTCCAGTGATATAACAAAATAAAATGCTTACAAATCCACCACACTCCAATACATCCACAGACAATCAACTGAAAAGGATTTTTTTTTAAATATCTAATTTTGAGTTCCACAAGAAGAAATAAAATCATACAAGTTCGGAATAACTTGAAGGTGTGTAAATTATACATTTTTTTTATTTATTTTTTGGGTAGGATTATCACTTTAAGGCCAACAAGTAACAAACTTGCAACATTTTTAAGTATTTCACAGTTTATCATCTTGATTTATTTGCACACCCCACATAAATGTTCACCCCAGGATCGCAACTATGTTGTTTTATTCACATCTTATTTTTATTATCTGTGTGTTGTTGTTGTCTCTGTGTACTGGAAGCTTGTGACACTAAAACAAATTCCTTGTATGTGCAAACATACTTTGCAATAAAGCTCTTTCTGACTTCTGAACTAATCCACCTCATTCTACAAGGCAGACATAAGCTATTTCCTGTGAAAGTGCAAGACTTACAATTCATTAACAAAATGCAGTAAATGGAAAAAAACTATTTGTGCTACAAACCAATGTGTTTATGATTTCTATAATAAATTAAAATATGATGGTGTCTGCTCTTAATAAGGTGGATAATAGCCTACTTCTTAGTGGTGGTGTATCAGCACGCTCCTGTCTAGATGGACATCTTTGACCTTTGTTTCTTACCTTTGCTTCTTGCTGCTTCTTTCTGTTTACATCATGACTGCTGCATTTTTAAGACGTGTCAAGAAGCCCAATTTGACTGAATGGTTCCTGAGCAGTCCTTTTGTGTTTCCACATTAGAAACATGAGGTGTGCAAACGATGACAAAATTGAATGCGCTACATTCAACAGTTGATTTTATACAGTCTCATGGTGCGTTCAAGTCATGTCGGATAGATCGTGTTTACGAGTTGAACGCACATGAACGCCCACCACAAAGTCGTTATTACGAGTGGAAAACTCAAAATTTTCTTTAAGCCCCGAGTTTCCGAGTTGGGGGCGTGTCAATGAGAAACATGGCGGAATCCATGGATGCAACGTCTGTAGTTGACGGTAATTTTTTGTTTAAATTGATAGTTTAGTTGTCCTATAAACTTAAATTGGTCATGTTCTTGTTACGCAGCTAGTTAATGAAATCCAAGTTTAAAAAAATGCTATCATGTTTGCACCTATAGGTGAAAAATCTTTTGATTTGCCATGTTGCATGTTTTAAAAATATTAAAAACGCAAAACACACCTGATGCGAATTCTTTGCTCTTCATTTTCTATAAGCAGAGTTAACAGACCCTGTTGTATTTTCTTGTAATTTATTAAAAGAAGGTACACCGCCATCTTGTACCGACTAAACTGACTTGAACGCACCTGACGTCGTAATTACGACTTGTCAACTCGTAAGTACGAACGTCCCAGGAGGACTTGAACGCAGCATCAGTGATGGGTCTTTACGGTGCGAGGTCCCTTTAAGGCAGAGAGCACGTCGTACATTCCTATGAAAAAAGCGGCGTTTTAAATGCCCGGTTGACGTCATTAAACTTTTTAAGCGGCTGGAGTGCGCGCGGAGGGAAAGGCACACACTCGCGCGCTTTTCCAGCCACTCGCTGCAGATGCGACTGGACGGGCTCAGGTTTGCGGGGAATAACTACAAAATCAACATTCCTTGTAAGAGAACTTCCGTTTCTTTAAATGTCGCTATTATTATTACAGTAAATATGTGGTTAATGTCGTGACCTTTTATCATAGGAATGTTTGAAAGCTAAAACGTACGTTAGTTTGCTTGAGGGTGAATCTGTTGCGTGCTGTGGTTTACGCGTTACATTTATTCTGTAAATATACTGCTATTTTACTTGTGATATAGATAACAAAGGGAAACATTCACAGTTAAATCAGCTTTTCGAATGTTTTTTTTCTTTGCTAAAAGATTTTCATTTACAGTAGAATGTAAACTCGTTAAACTCGTGCGTGCGCATGTATATTTGATCGCCGTGTTATAAAGTTAAGCTAGTTCTGTTGTTCAGTTCACTCGGCTTAACAGTTCCGTGGTTTCAGCACTGTTCTGCTGTGCATTAGCCAAATGCATTGACCCAGAGCTCAGCCACCGACCCCAGCAGTGACACAGACAGAATAATGTTCATAATGATATTGCTGACTCCGTGTCCCTCGCCGTTTGCTGCCCTTGACAGAGGAAAACGAGAGAACAGCATAATGCCATTCTGACATTCTCAGGCAAGCTGCTGTTGTTGCGCTTTAATAACTGAGGCTGCCAGACTCCTTCCACAGACTGTAAATCCATTTGCCTCTCAGAATGATTTCAGTCAAATGTGAACTTGCTGAATAGAAATGCACCTTTATGCTCCTCATATGATTTAATTAAAAATGAAATTTCATGATTAAACCAGCTATGCTAACATTAAAAGAACACTAGTTAATGCAAAATTAAAGTCTACAAATTTACAAACCATTACTTCTATATAAAGAGATAGAAATGCCTAAGGCAAGTTGCTCCTTTCCGTACAACAAAAGCATTCAAGTGGCTCCCAATCTCCGTAAAACACAATAAAAGCAGTTCATATAGTTCTTGTGCAAAATTACAAGCCTTCTGAAGCCATACCATACAGTAAATTTGTATGCAGAACAGATGGATAGTGCTAATTTCCAAAAATCTATCCCTGCTAGATCTCTCAAATCTCATTTACACCTCCATATTAAACTGTTCTGGAACAGTGTTGTAAATACAACTTAACCACTGATTTGTAGTCGTGTCCTCTTTTGGAAGACCAAACAAAGTAGTTTCGCATGAACATTTGGGCGGCATTATGCAAATTTTCCCACATATAGTGAGGTAGATATGTGGGGGCGTGTTAGAACGAGCCGTTTTAGGTAGGTGTGGCTGACTCTGAACTTTTATAAAGAATATCTCTTTGGATTTAAGACTTTAGTCTTTGCAACTTTACAGATCTTCATTATGCACCAAGAGCGTGTTACACTCCAAAGAGAAAGGAAAAATTTAAATCGCATCATATGACCCCTTTAAGATCAGTCGAGAGACATTTAAATGACATTAACCATTTGACATTAATATTCACAATTTATGACGGCTTTCACATTGATCCAGAGAGAGACATGCTGCCACTAGCTACTGAAGTTGCATTTCAAGCACATGATATGTTTATTTTATATCATGGATTATGTATTATTTAAACTTATTTCATGTGCCATCAAAACTCCATCTGGGGAACATTCAGAGTATTTACAACATAAAAAGGTTAAACCTATAGGGAAGACTTTTAGTGAATAACTTCACCCTTTTCCCCACATAAATCTATAAGATGTAATGGCTTCGGAACAGATGGAATGCACCTACTTTATGGTACTTTTTCTGAGCTTGATAGCTACAGGTCACAGTTGTGCGTCATTTGCAGTTTGTAAAATGTTTGTTGTTTTACTGAAAATAGAAAATCATTTGGGTTTTAAACACCATAAGGCTGAATAAATTTAACTGTTCCTTTAATTTGCTAACATCGTTCGTGAGGATGAATACATTTTTGTCATAATTCTTGAAGAGCCATGTGTCATTTACTTAGGCAAGACATTTAAATAAGGCTTTGAATGCATTTTAATAGAATGATTAACAGGACAAGGGAAAATTGTTTTTAAATAACACCGATCAGCAGGTGTCATTCAATCAAACTGTAATTAAAATGCCACAAATCGCATGATCTACAGATTACACCAGTGTCTCACATTTCTTGAACATTTGATTATTTTATTCCAATTAAGTAAAAAGCATGAGCCCTGCCAGAATCACATGCTGCAATGTCTGTTTCTGCAAAAACTGATGCTGTAATGTAATGACAATTAACCATAACTTTACCATGTTTGGCAGGACTTAAAATTTACTCTGATCATTGTTGTCAATAATGGATTGGACTTGCTTGATTTGATGATTTGACAGAATAAAATAGTCTTATCCTGGACTTGAGTGGTCTGGTTCCAGTGCCGGTCTTGGATTCTGTTCTCGTCTGGGTCATGTGGGATTGGGTTTTGCCATGTGGTTTGGACTCTAGAGGGGTTATAGATTGGAAGACAGGTGTGATGGCCTTCACAGAATGCTTTCCCAGTGGTAACTTGATTGCATTTGTCTTGGGAGAATTGATATGAACAATGGCTGCTGATTACTTTCTGATGTTACAGGCCAAAAGGAAGCAAATCACACACTTTTTTGCATATTCTAGTATAATTGGGAGCCTCTTCAGTAAGATTAATTTTAGTAGTATGCAGTCAACAAATGAGATACAGGAATAATTTGAGAAAGATGTTTCTATAAGTTTTATGTTGATTTTCCCTACATACACACCATGGTGCTATTTAAACTTTGCAGTGTTTCCTGCACCTTTTTGAATCTTTAGCGCCACAGCAAAAAAAATTTATTTTACCCGAGTTGTGAGTCTGACTCAATCTGATTTAATGTGATACATGTGAATAATGCCAAGACAACATGTTTTTTCCCTTGTGTTCTCTTCTCAAGTTCACAAACGGATGACTCGTAAGTTCTTTTAATGAATCAGTCAACTAGGCTCACATACTCATGAGTTATGTGTTTGAATTGTTTTGACAAATCTTTCACTAAATGAACTGAACTAAACCATTCACTGAAGTCAGTACCATTACAAGTTAAGTTTACATGCAACCAAATAATATGTTTATAATCAGATTTATGGCTCAATCGGACTGAAAAGCCTTCATGTAAACACCTCAATTAACCATATAAAGTTATCAAATAAAAATTTAAATATTACATGACAGACGAGGCAGGGACTGTTCATCAAACCCTTCACCCTTATTATTTTTGCCCATTGTCTTTGGAAAAGCTACTGACTCAGATATGACAATTCAGCTTTAATCAGTGATGGTGATTTATATGGGAGCTCTACAGCTAAACTTTACCATGACAGTAAAAATTAGACAGCTTTTAACCCTGCAGGCACATGCTCATTCTGTTCTGATAAAGTACACTTCAAATGAGATGTAATTTGAATAGCAAATAAGATGCTATGTGTTTGTCTAAAGAGATCCTATCCTCCGAATTTATCCTAGTTTTGGTTTGTTTTACTTTCACATTAGGTTCTTAGTGCACAGGGAAGTATTATTTATTGTGTTTGCCAGCAAGTTTTACCCTGAGCAAATTAGCAACGTGTCCTTAGTTGCCCGATAGATACCTCCTACCAAGGAATACTAATTTAGTAAAAGTTGAGTGTTATTTCCCTGGGAAGTACATGTTTTATCTCCACACGTTTTGCAACTCACATGCAAATTGAAAGTATGAAAATATTTCAAAAGATGGAACACAAATTCAATCTAAACAGATGTTTCTGACATTACGATCTGCAGAAGCATACAAATTACCGTACAAATTTCCAAACTCTGCTCTTGTTCTCCAGACATTGATTAGTAACTCAGAAAAATCTATCTGTCTCTTAGCTGTAATTGCCAACTACACTTTTGCATTCACAAACAGCATTCGACATACGCACAATAGAAACGAACATGTACAACACAAAGACTGAATGCTGAGAGGGTCCATAGGCCTCCCATTCAAAACATCCAGACAGAGGTAATCACTCAACAGCGTCTGATGCTTCATTTCCTGTCAGTGAATCAACATCTGACTGCGTGTCTACGTGCTGTCTCTTCCAAATTAGATTTGAGTTTTTTGAGCTTTAAATTGTAATTGACTGGAGCAGGTGCTGCATGAGTCTAATGGGTTGTCCATTTGATTTAACTGAAGTGTAGAAACCAATAGACTTCTGTTTTAACTGACAACGTGAATTTTGAGTGAAGCAACAGTTTTCAAGCTTTTGTATGAGAAACAGGCCCATGCCTGATAATTTAGCATGCAAATCCTATGATCCTTTACAAATCTGCCCTCAGCGTGGTGCTGTATCGATCTAAAAATAAATGAGTAAACAAGTTATGACAGATTCTTCATTTTCATTTGCATGTTTAATGCCATTTTGTTATCAGGAATGTTAGTATTGATTCATCAGGGTAGTGCAATGTGACTCATTTACCCCCACAGTCATTATAATAATAAAAGAAACCAAGCATGTGTGATTGTCAATATGAATGTGACTATAATTATATGTGTGAAGTGGGGTGGTAGGCAAAACTAGAAAAATCTATAAATAGAAATGCAAAAATAGCTAATGTTTTAAAACAGGTTTCCAAACACTTCCTCGTCTGTCATTGGCCGGACAAGCAAATAGTCCCGCCCTAAACTTGCCAATGTTGCTATGTTAGGCTGGTTGACCTGCGAATATCCTACTTATATTGAAGCTAGAATGGGAGAAAGTATTTTAACAGAGAAAAAAAATACACATTTAAGCTTTAAAAGAGAGATCTATCTCAAATTATTCTGATTTGTTTCGACTTCTTAACTATACTTATAAAATCATCCTTGAACTATAGTAGTCTAAAGAGGTTTATTGAAATACTATTATATTATAATATATATAATATTATATGCAAAAGCATCTTTGTTTCCTTTTTGACGTCACTTTTACTCCTTATCAACAGCATCATGGCATCTTCTGTGGAATTATGTTGATTTACTTACACTGATGTTGTTCCAAATTTATATGACTATATTTCTTCTATGGCAC